AACCCAAATAATTTACCTCATGCCTACACAAGGCCAGAGCTTCATATGTTTTTTGTTTTACTTTCTCGCCCACTTATTAATGCTGTGAGTAAAAGGGGATAAAGGCCATGGAAATTTCAGTTCTGTCTTATCCTGATGACTTCCTGCTGTTTGCTTTCACTGAGTGTGCCCAGGTGGAAGTTACCCTTTGGCTTAGTTACTCTGGGATGTGTACATGTTAAATATACTGTTATAAATAGACACATGATACGTTGGCCTGAAATTATTTGGTTGTACGGTGCTCACGGCCAGTGCTATCAGACCAAAATCCCAGTGGTGGAGGCACCAGGGAGAATAATACAGAAGTGCAGAGAGTAATAACATCATGAGATGCCACCTGAGAGGATGCATGCCAATGCACTAGAGAAAAAATAATCCCAAACATAGATGCACAAGGAGAAACCTAGAAATAGGAAGATGGAGACTGAGGAGCGATGGCTGACAATACATCATATACGAGTCTGCAATGGGAAACAGCAGCGAGGAGAACCAAAGCTGTTCAACACAGAGGCATCGCGTAACAACACGGCAATAGTTTGCTCCTGCAAAACTCTCATTCTAGGACATGCTTGCAGTTCTGAGCTTACCAAAGAGATTTAGACACACTTGAGAGGAGGTCATGACAGAGCAGCAAAAGATTTTCAGGGCCAGATGGAATGACTCAGCTGGGTCTGGCTGGGGTGCATGGGTGGGTACCCCTTCTCCCAGTCCCCAGGCAGAGGACAGAGTAGCATGGAGCTGCAGGAGGCTGCACTGGTGCCATGGATGCTGGCATGAGAGCAAGTTTGTGGGAGTGCAGTTTGTGACACAGTGCTGGAGGGACAGGAACAGCCCATGGCCCCTCCATGGGCATGATGCTGATGCTACCAGAGTGTGCATATCATCTTTGTTATTCTGTTTGCAATCATTTTTGTTATTCTGTTTGCAAAGGACTCTTCCTTCCTACATCAATATGGTTTCACTGCTCTTTCCCTCTGATAAAGAGAGCACTTTCTGCATTTGCAGGCTGCATACACCTGGTATCTGTTCTGAAATTAATCATGGGAGACTTTCTCCCCACGGCCCATTACCTGAGAGTAAGAACTCTTAGAAATTTAGTCCCAAGCAACACTTAATTCCTCAAATTTAAACAATAAAAAGACTGGGGCAGACTTCTAATCTTCACTAGAGCAGCTTCTGCCAACAGATACCACCAGCCTTAGATTACACTGACAGCTATGAAGATAACTGTGCCATAAAAGTAATTGCTCTTTCTGCAGAGGGAGGGAAAATCTTGTTATGCAATGGCTCTAAGCATATGACAGCCTTCCAGCAAGCGAGAACCAGTGGCTGCTACATGCAAAACTCCTTTATATTCTGAATCAATTTCTGTGTAGAAAAACTGACATCTTTGGTTAGCATGGAAGATGGGCAGATGTGAACTTGGATGGGCAGTCTTTCTAAAAAGAACCCCAATGTCTCACTGTCTCCTTTATTTTCTGCTATTTTAGGATGTTATTATATTGCCAATGTACAGCTCCAGAGACAGGAGGAACATTTTTGCAGTCAAATAGGGATTTCTAAAAGAAACCACCATGTGTCCCTTAAGTATCCATTTAGAAGATGGGACATAAAAGGCAAATGCAGTACATCTAGCATAAAATTCAGCACAGAACAGCAGAGAGGAGTGACAAAGCCACAAAAGAAACATAAACTGCCAGGATACTGTCTGGTCATTCTATTAGATAAAACCCAGCTGCTATTTGTCTCTGTTTGTTAAATCTTATGCAACTAGTGCTCACCAAATATGTTTGATATACCATATAAGGAACTAGAAGTCTCTCTACTGGGGTAACTCGCAGAGATTTTCAGTTTTCTGTGTGTTCTGTAGTTGAGTAAACTTGGAATCTTTGAACTTTCTTCTGGTTTTACTCCCAACAAAATTTTATCGGTTTGCTTGGAAATCTCATGTGTGCTCAAGAAGGCTTGCTGAAAAAAATTCTGAAAGATCTGACATAACCCTGCCAAAAACTATTATGACATGAAACATGCATCTTAATGCAAAACCGGATTGTTGTTGCAACTCTCAGTTGGCTCTAACATGTTGCATTCAGCCACAGATAGCCTTTGCCCCATACCAGCCCACTCAGGTTAGAATTGGCATCGCATGAGCTAAGAGGCTGAGAGACTTGTGCATGCACAAGATGCTTGTGCAAGGGCTAATATCATGTCATCACTTTAGCTAAGCTTTTAGTGAAGATTAAGTCATAGGAAATATAATCTCTTCTGAGATTTCCTTCCTTTCGTATTGCTTTATCCTTACTGTCATTAGAACCAACCAGTTTTTCCATTGCCCTACCACTCCAAAGAGAGCATTAGAAAAAGTGACAATCCCTGCCCCAAAGAGCTTACAATCTACAATTAAGCTCCATTTGATTTTTATTTCTGAGACGGACAAACATGGGATAGCTTTGGGTTCAAGAATTAAATCTAGATCTTCCAGTATTCAGATTCTCCTTGAGCAATGCCAGATGTCAGTGACCCAGCACCAATGTATATCATCCTCACAGACCCCAGCAGCAGAGCCCTAGAGAGACCCTGGGTACACGATAAGCTGGAAAATTTCCCCAACTCATCCGCTGGAGAACCCATTTCCGCTCAAACTCTTGAGCTGGCAATTTTAAGTGGGATCTGCTGGTGCAGGGTATGTTGCCTTACCAAAGCCTGCTCAATAAGGAGGCAGAAGAGAATGGCATTGCCCACTTCTCTGAGGCTCTGGAACACATCAGTCTTCAGCTCTGCATACTCAATGATGTCCTTCAGTTGGTGGTGGAAAAACTCCAGGATTCCTTAAAAGACAAGGGAGGGCAGTCAGAAAAAGTGAGTGCAAAAGCATCCTTCAGTGGTATGGATTAAAAGGCAGTCAGGGCCTGGTGCTTCCTTTATCATGAACTGCAAGAATTGCTAATTGGATAGATAGGGATAGGCACTGGGCAGAACCAGCACGCAGTGTGTCATCCTGCTTTCGCTGACCCACGAGAAATAGGGGGGTAATTCCTGTGAAGTCCTTGGATTTCCTTATCGGAGAAAAAGAGATTCAAGACTGCTATGGATGTCTTTGTGCTGGTTCATTTATAACAGTCAGTTTTCACATCCAGCTGAGTTGCAGACTGCAGTCATACAGTAAAAAATCTTTCCATCAAAGAAGTAGAGCTTTAGAAAAAGTAATAGTGAAGCCACTGTAACAAAGGCTTAAAAATCCTGAAAACAAAACCTAAACAACCAGCAGACATACCCTTATCAATCATCTGTGTGTTCAAAGTGAAATTTGTAACAGGAAAGTTGTGTCACAGGGAGCACCAGCACAGCAGATGCTCATCCTTGTTTAATTGAATAAATGCTGTGCAGAGATTTGGATGAGCTCTTGCTCAAACCATGACACGTCTCACTGTAGCACCCACCTGGAGAGCCATATTCGTGTCTTGGCAAGCGGCATATCTTGGGCATGACTTCTATTAGAGTCTTCACATACTGCAGGATGGTGCCTTGCAGCTGTAAGAGACAAAGAGGGGTTAAACTGGAAGGATGGCTTCTTCTGGCCTTGGTTTTAAATGGAACAGACTGTGGACAGGTCCCTGTCTGACAACAAAGGGTAAAACTTTAGTTGGAGTCTAAGAAGAACTTGCTTCCTTTGGATTTCACCCAAATATGAAGTCCAGCCCAAGTGCATGGAGTTTTACAGCTTCCTCTTGAATAATAAATCATGGTTGCATGGATTTTCTACTTCAAAATACAGCTCATTGTGTTTGCATTATTTGCAGCTGAAATCCAAACAAGGCTCCATCGTAGATCCAGCTGGACTTGTGTTCCTAACCCAAAAAGCATTTCATTGGAGCTGCTAAAGGAGCCATTCCACAGCACAGGAAATGGTCTTCCCACCTGAGGAATGATTCTTAAAACTTTAAACTGAGAGTTTAAAAAAATTAAAAATATATACACATAGAACAAGTTCCTGCAGATTGGATGTTTTGAACTAATATGGAGAAAAGTGTATTTCTTAGTTAAAAATGCTTGCTGTCATTTGGAGTTATATAAATACATCCTGTAGACATATTACATGGGATTATGTGATAAACATAATTTAGCCAAATGCAACATCTCTGTCTTCTCACTGAATGCTGTCTGATCTCACACAACAGCTACAGTGCTTTCAACTGAGTGACACAAATTACATCTTCAATAGCTACAGTGCTTTACAGCAGAGAAGCTGGGCATATGCTTAAGATTCAGGTCTACATTGCTTTGCTAGATAAGTTCAAAATTAAATCACTGCAGCCAAAACAGAATTTAAATATTTATAATGAATTAAAATCTTCTCTTTGGTAAAACAGTTTTGGGTAGAAAAGCGTGACCTGAAAAATGATAAATTTTTGCACATTCCCTCCTGCCTTGTTAATGTTCTGTATTGTTGGTGCCCTTAGGATATCCACTTCCCTGTGGATATCACATCTCTCTTTTGAGAGCAGTACAAAGCAGATGGAGCAACTGGCTTCAGCATATCTGACGGAAAGGGACGTATGGCTTGAATTCTTAAGAGCTCACTCGTAACAGAAATTTCCTTGCAAACTCTTTTTCATCAATTTCATGTTCTCCACCTTAGCAACAGCAAAACTAGACCATGAATCCAAGTGTTACAGTGTGGATAAAGGGGCACAGAGTTGCCTAGATTTCAACAACCCAAACCAAAACCTGAAGGCCAGGCTGACCCTCCAATTCATGCCTCTCAAAGCATCGAGATTTCTCTGCTGCTGTCAGGCTCAGAATTACCAGGCTCTTGACGATCTTCAACAGCTCTTCCATGACCACGGCGATCCCCTGATAGCCAAGCAGCCTGCAAATTGTCTTGAAATGAGGTGGCCCCACAAAATTGCGGTAGGAGCTATAGATGTGACTGTAGGCAATGTTGAGAGGCTGAGGAAAGAGAAGCACAGTGACAGTTAGGCACATTTACAAGACTTGTTAGTAATTCTCTTATCGTACTATTGTGTTCCATCACTTGAAATCATTTTGAAGGAAAGCAGGAGAAATAATAATTCCTGTAAGAAATTTCTTAGAACACTTCTTGAGGTACGAAAAGATTGCTCTTCTTTCTGTGTAGTCGAATGTATTCTACTCTGAAAAAAATTGTCATGTCACAAGGTTTATTACCCTGCTCCATAGCCAACACCACTTTCATTTCCAAGATAATTTACTCTTCTATGTATTTGCAGTCAGGGATTTCAGTTCACTGACCCTTTGCCTCTTCAAACCCAAGTTCTTCTCCATGAAAACTAAAAGCTTTATATATGAATAATAGGGTAGAATTGGCATTTGCTTCAAATGAGGAACATTAAGAAAAGTAGGAACTAGAGCATCTGAGCCTAAGACCAGTTGGAAGAGACACAGAAATGATCCTTTCTGCATCCCTACGTACTGGTACTTGAGACACCTACATGTGACTGAGCCCAAATGGAAGAACCTGACCCTTGCCTAGGGAGCATACCTGGGGCTCTGGCCACTAGTAAATTGTTAGCAGCAGAAAACAGAAGGCAACTTCCAGGAGCATATTTTATCAATATAATGTTGGAAATATGGGAATTACTGCAATTTTTTGGCACTAGAACATTTTTTTTTATTTGTTTGGTGTAAGAAGAAGAGAAGTAGGGGAATTAATTCACTTATGTGATTGGCAAAAGAAACCAAAAATCAAAAAGAAAACTGATTTTAGCTGAGACACCGCATGTTCAGCTTGGCATCTGTAAGAGAAGTGCTGGCACCATGACTCAGCCCCACAGAGAAGGGCTGCAGCCTCCCCCAGGAGATCGGTGACAACCACAGCTCTAGTACACAGTACTGAATCTTAGAAAGACTCTGGCACATAGTGCTGCTTCCAACAAAACACAGATGAACTCCCTGGCTCAGAGTTGCTAAAAGATCTTAAGACTAATGAAACAAATTAAGTTACGTCCAAATGTGCTGTGCAAGGCATGCTGCATCCTTCCACAGCAACCACAGACTCAGCTCTGCAGGGATTCCCTTCCATGCCAGCACCAGGGACAGACTCTGGCCAAGGCACCTGACAGACCACCACACTGGAGAGCTTAAGATGAAAGGCAGCAAGCACTGAAGTGGCAAATGAGGACAAAATGGTGGATCCTCAGCTCCTGCTGCTCCTAGCAGTTGCAATACAGCCAGTTGTGCTCAAAGGCTTCACTCATCCTCTCCTTCTGACTCACTTCCACAAGCCTAACAAGTTAGGAAGTGAAGTCATTTGCTAGGAACCAGAATAGTGTTTTCTTTGCTCTCAGATACAGAATTTCTGCTGACTGATGTACTGATAGCTCTCATGGACTTGATAGTTGCTTTAATCAGTGAATTAATTGTATTGTTAGAGCCCTACTGCCCTGATCCAGGAATGTATCACCTCCTATGATTGCTAGGTACTCCTCTAAAGAGCTGGAAGGAAAAAAAGTTGGAGAGCGCCCTGCTTCTCTTAAAACTTCACCTTTTGGCCCTGATAGACAGAGAAACCCTTCACCACTCTTCTGTGCATCATTTCTGTTATGCACACAAAGCCAACCTTATAGTCTCTGAGGTGCGTTCATTCACAAAGTGCATGAACTTTCTCCTCCATCAAAACTAAGCAATAGGCCTCTGAATAGTAAGGATCAGAGTGAAATAATTTTGGGGAGATAGAATTGGTCACATTTCCCCTGGAACAGGGCTGACATTTTGCTGCATGGGCAGGCGATCTCTTGGTGCAGCCTCCTGCCTTGCAGCAAAACAAAATGCTGCTGCAGTGCAGCTTTGAAGCTATCTGTTCCTTCAAGAGGGGGTCCCAGCAATAAGCCTGATTAGGAGAAGATACATTTTAGGCTGTGCATGGGCTGCAGATGAGGAGAGTGATTCATCCCCGCCTGTCTGCAAGATAAGGTAGGCTCATCGAGCTCCCTGCACAGCGCATTAGCAGCAGGCTTGCGTCTAATAATAATACCCTGTGAGCAATTAAAATATACCTCCATTTAAGGGTGAGATACACAACTTAGTTTAAAGACTGTAGGATGTAAAATATGACACCAGGGTGTATTTTAAGGCAAACCAGCTGAACGCACAAGCTGGCTGTGTGGCACGCTCACTCCCCCACATTGTGCGGCCACTGCCACCCCCGGGAGCAGGAGCAAAGCCCCTCTCCAGCAGGCCCACAGGAGGCTTTGCTGTTCACAGGAGCAAAAGCCACTGAACACGTAGCAGAGGTTTTCCCTGCCTTTAGTTTAGGGCCAGATGGGCAGGTCTGGGGGCTGAGAGGCTGGATGTGCAGGCAGGTTGGGATCTGTGGCAGTGACATAACCAAAGATTAGTCCTGACTGTCAGCCAGCCTGACTTCAGTGCCACAGCTGAGATGGTGTCTAAGAAAGTACAGAACAACTCTAAGACTTTTATGCAAAGTAAACAGAATCAGAGTCATTTGAGTTGGAAGGGTCCTTTTAAGACTACGTAGTCCAACTCTGCTGCATTGAACAGGGACATCTACAGCTCAGTCAGCTGCTCAGAGCCCAGACCAGCCTGACCTTGAATATCTCCAGTGATGCAGCAACCTGTTCCAGTGCTTCACTAAAATAAATATGCCCTATGTGTGATGCACAAATCATACAGTGCAGTAGGTACTTTTATATACTGTATATAAACAATATCTCTGTCTATTCCATGCCTTAGCATAATGCCTTGCTATACTGACTGCAGTTTTATATACACACATACGCACATACGTACATACCACATACACTGCTATAATGTATAATGAGCCACAGCAGGAGAGGTAGCACAGCCCCCAGTGCCTGTTGCAATGGATCAGCAGCCCCCACTGCCAACACCACCTGCAGCATCCACATCGCCTTCATGCCTCAGTGCTGCTGCTGCAGACGTGGCAGCAGAAAATAGAGTGGTTCCATCCCACTCACACAGCATGGCTATTTATACAGCTGCCAGCAGCATGCCTTGCCCTTCACGTTACATCTGCTCTCACGCTTACTAAAAATGGGTGGGCAAAGTCAGCTGTGAGAGGGAAGCTGTGATTTTCAGTGAGTCTGGCGTGACCCTGGGTCCAGCAGTGCCAAGAGAAAACAGAAACACCCTTGAAAGTACATAAATGAAACCCAATCTAAAGCATTTGCAGAGCTAAGAAGTGGATAGCAAGCAGTAAGAAGTGGGTTGCTGTTGATTTACAGATCCTTTGTAGGAAACTTGGCAACCTGCTGCATTTTCTAAGTGGCTGAGTGACAGAATTGCTCAGTTTCTGCTGACCACTCAAACGCATTCATGGTTTGCATCCCGGAGGGTGGAATGGCAAGCGGGGACAGCCAGGGCCACTGGCAGATGTTATTTGGGTAGAAGGGAACAAAGGTGCTGGATCAGCCCCAGCACTGACACAGTTTTGATGTTTTCTTGTCCACAAAAAAGACAATTTCTAGCTTATCACCCATGTAAATTGGTGCTGACTTGACTTTGGTAATGCCAACAGCACTGAAAACTTTGGTACGGTTCCTTCAGAGCTCATGGCATTGATCACTGCATGGAGAAGAAATAGCAGGATGCAGCTATTCTTGTTTTCTGTGCTTTTCTCTGTTCCTGTTAACACGTTATGTGCGAACAACTGAAATTTAATTTTGAAACAACTGTGAACACCACTAACTCAACAACCCATCTGCAGAAGAAAAGCAGTACTCCCATGAAGTATTATCACATGGTGACACCTTTCTGAGCACAGATTTGTATCTTCAGCTCTTTCCCTGCAGGCAAGGATGTACTTTCTTCACAGCATGGGAGCAGCTAAGAGCTCTCCATTCCCCTGCTCCTGCAAGGAGGACTGAGAGATGTAAAAGGCTGGAGGTCTCCTGGGAGCACTTTCATTTCCATCCCTACCTATAATTATTTTCATCTTTGCTCCCCATTTTCAGCTCCCTGGCAGCTGCAGCCCACTCAGAAACTGAAGGAAATACAGCAGGACTTGGAAGATAAACACACACAGAACTGCAAAGTGTCAATCAAAAGCAACAGTCACACATACTGCCTGGGCTGTGGCAGCCTCTTCTAATCTGGTTTGCATCATCTCCTCACTAATGACATTTTGAAGATCTATGAAATACTGCAGGCACCTTCCCAGCAAGAATGTGGAACTAATAACTTCATAGCCAGAACTGAAATTTATTTTGGGAAAGTTATTCTCTTGAATACATTTTGGCTTCACAGAGCAGCAAGCGATTTCTTCAGAGCCTCTTCTTACCAGTCCTGCTGCCACATCTGTCCCCTCTTGTCACCTCCTGGCTACAGGCTCAGGCTGCTTTCTCAATGGCTTTGCCTCTCCTTCCTTCCCTGGGATTCAGAGAAAACCCAGTTCCTGCTCTACCACACAGCTTGGAGATAAATTAAAAAGCAAAACGGACATTGCCTCAGTATCAGGGATGCAAATCTACCACTCACTGGCTTTAAACAGTAGTTTAAACGTGCAAGAAATCATAGTAATAAAGACAAAGCCCCTGAGTGCAAAGCCCCTGGGCCAGGATGCTGGATTTCACACCATGTACCAGTATGGCTCTAACTCCAGACTCTTCTGGAGGCAATAGCTCTGGAGCAGAGTAGCAGTGTTGCTGCAGGGCTGCAGATAGAGATAAAAAAAACCAAACACAAAAACAAAGTAGAAAACAAAACAAAACAAAACTGGCTTGCTAGTTCTGCCTCGGAGACACACCTCCCAGGCAAAAAGCTTTTAGGGACAACATTCCCAAATCATTTGAAGATGCCTGCCCATCCTTTCTTACTGGTTGCTATGGTGAGAGATGACGGAGCCCAAGATGGGTATAATACAAGGCAGCGTGCGGAGCAGGGATTTAGCAGAGCAGGAGGGACGCAGCGGTGAGAAGAAGGGAAGGTGCTGCGCTGCTCTCCTGCACTGAGGGGCTGCTGCAGAGCTGCTGGGGAGGTAAGCTGCTTCCTGTGGCTCCGGGAGGGCTTAGTGATGGGTGCATGTGCTTTTCTCCTCTGTAGGAATGGTTGTTAAGATGAGCTGCTTCTTGAGAATTAAGGGAAAGTTAGTTCTGTTAAGGGAGAGGGGAGGAAAAGAAGAAAAAAAAGAAATGAGATTGATTGCATGCAGCTTCTGCTTAGAGTGCTCAGGTGGTTGGGGGAAGAGAACCCTGCAACAAGGCTCAGAGGGCACTCTGGTGCCCTAGGAGAGTGATGTACCAGCTGTTGTGGCTTTTGTTAATCAGGGATGTGTTACTGAGTAGTCTTTTATTAGGAGGAGAGCTTTGTTATTCATACACTTGTAATCCCTTAAAAAATTACAATATTATATTATTGTAATATAATATTGAATATTATATTTCAGCAGTTTTCAGATCTCACAGTTACTATTCTGATATTACAGTGTGAGATGCTGTAGTAGCAGAAATATTTTATTGTTTATTAATCAACACGTTAAATATGGAAAATTCAGCAACAGCTTAAACAACTATTGAATCACTATGCAGCTTTTCCGTATGACATTTAGGTATAAAAATTAATCTTTAGGAAACTCTACCAGGCAAGCCTAATTATTAGTTTATGTTAATCAAACTTGCAGTATCCTTTCCATTCAATGGGAATGTGAAGCGAAAGAGCTAAAAAAGCTTCCTGTGTGGACAACCAGTCACAAAGAAGAGATTTTTCAAAATCTAATTAGACCATAAAGTATACCCTATGTCCTACATTTGGTTGTTTTTTTTTCTTTCAAGAAGCAGGCTGATAACAGTAGTCTGGGCACCAAGCAGGTTTCATCTTTGGTAATTTCAACCACCTAAGATCGATCATCTAATCTAAGCTCACTAGGCACAGCCCTTCTGCAGCCAGTGGAAAGAGCTCCCTCCTAGGTTGTGGGCAGCTCAGTTCCCACAGTTGCTTTCTTTTTGCCTCTGCAAAGGGGAATATGACATTTTCTACATTCAAGGAAGTGAAGCTGTGATGACTGAGGGAAAAGATGGTAACAACTATGAGTGTGGAAATGATGGAAGCAGCAGTATTAGAAATGAAACTCTTGAGTGCAGCAAGTGCCCCAACAGATCGACTTTCATTTCCACAAGTTCCACTAAGCATAGGAGTCTATGGTGAAATGGGCAGGTTTTGAAGCAGTCAGCTGAGTAACTCAGCTTCTGAAAGTTTGCTGAAGACCCCGAAGACAATTGCAATGAAGTTTTCTTTCTGCTAGAGAGCACCTGCAGTGCTTAACAGTTCTAAAAATGCAGTATTTTTTAGTGTCAACCACTGGCAAAACACTTAAAAGAGATTGCAGGGACAATTGTGGCTTATCCAAAATGCAGTGTGTTTTAGTAATTACTTTTACAGAAGGCACAGAGAGTTCACCTGAAGCCTACACAGGCCAGCCTAAGGGTCAGTAATACCAGTGGAAAGCCTTCACTGATGTCAGTGGCCTTTAGGACTGCACATGCATTGGGGAACTCAGCCTCTCGCTGGTTCTGGTTTCAGGGACATGATGAACATCGACGTGCACAACATCACCTACACCAGTGCCACAGTCTCCTGGACCACCACCAACCCCTGTCCAGAGAACTACTACCACGTCATGTACCGCCCCAACTGGAACAGCGTCTTCGCCGGCTATTTGCGCCAAAACTTCCACCGTGAAGAGCAAGTTCCCCACTCCCTCAGCTCTGTCATCCTCCATCGCCTCACGCCCTCCACCATCTATGTCCTCTGCATCACGTGCAAGAACTCCTACCCTTCCAGCAACCACTGCACCACGTTTCACACGCTGGACCAAAACCCCTTACTTTTCAGCGGCTCTAAGCACGAGCCCACCACCTCCATGTGGATGGTGAGCAGCCTGTTGCTGCTCTGCTTTATAGCTCTCTTAGTCTACGGCTGCCTGCAGTTCTGGGCTGCACAGTGCTGTGGGCCTTCCAGGCCAAAGCAACATGATGCCAGCCCCGAAGAAGTGGGTGAAGGCAGCAGCTCGCTGGATGGTCCTCTGAATGATGGACTGAAAGAAGAGCTTCTGGAAGTGCCCATGACCACTGTGCTCATGAGGAGCTCCAGTTTCTTGAGGGAGAGTCCATATAGTTCTCCACGCTGCTTCTTCCCCTATAAGAACAGTGATGATAAGACAGCCATCTTGCCACAGCATGGCCTTCAGTGAGAGCAAAATAAAGAGAGGCCCTGCTTGGCAGTCTGGTTCATGCTGCTCTTTCCCAGCTCTTCCCAGTTTGTGTATGCACAGGGGCTGTTTGTCCCGGGGTAAAACATGAGGTAGGAGTGTTAGCTGCAGGGAGAAAAGCTTTTTCAACTGACAAAAATACTGTCATTCACTGAGGGGTTTTTTAAAAGGAAACAAGGTAAGCTTTCTGGGAATGGCCATGCTAGGCTGACTGTAGTGTCACCATCTAATCTGCATCAGTGCTGTAGATCAGTCATCAACCAGCATGCACAAGAAATAAACTCCACTCCAGTAGTTTCATGCCTGAGTGATCCTCCACTAGCATCACACCCCAAGCCCTCATAGCGCTTGCATAAACAGTCATCATGGCCTGACAAAAGAGCTTTTTGTCAGTGTGAAGTAGTTTACGTTTGCACTCCAGCTTTTTAGTAACTCCTGTTTTGAACTACAAATGGGATTCCTGTAGTAGCACCTTCCTCGGGGAGCAGCACTGTACTGGAACTCCAGCTAGCTCTCCTCTCTCTGTGTTTAGATGGATGTGACTTGGTCTCCAAGCCCCACCAGCAAGCAAAGGGTGGTATCAGCACTCCTTCACACAGGCATGTTATGCAGAAGAATATGGGAAAGCAATAGCAAAAAGCACACTGAAGCTGCTTCTTGCATGGCTTTTTTGTTTCACATGGCAATGTGATGCTGTACATTTGCACTTGTCACACTGTTATTGAATAAGATATTGCATTTGTTTCTTCCTAAATAAAGGATTCCAGCATCCACCCCTGCTGGCTGCCATGGCTCATTTACTGACCTTGGACCCGTAGAGGTAATATGGTTGAACATTGGCTGGTTTGTCCCGCTGGGGTTCCTGTGTGAAGGGGATTGCTGTCCTCACAAACCTGCAGCAGGCACAGGAGACAGGGAGGGAAGTGGTCAGTGCCTGGTCAACTGTGGGCAGTGCAGACATCACGCGGTCCAAGAGGAACTGTGATTGCAGACTAATTAGCAAGTCATCATCTGAGCTACATGTGCAAAATCCTGCCCCAACCTATTGGTGATATAAAACATATCAACTTAACATATTACAAACGTTTGGGTTTTTTTGGAGGCAGGCAAGAAACCCACATCTGAGCAGGGAGCACAGCTCTGCTGACAAGTCACAATACTCTAGACTGAACTACCTCAGCTGTTCGTAATCTCTGTCCAACTTTGTTTGAATGTGCTTCCACGACCAAGGGGAGCTGGTGGACTTTATTTTAACTCTCAGTGCTGCACATCATAAGGAATAAAAACTTTCCTGCAATGCATGTGAATTTTATGTGGCAGGTTTGAAATTCTGGAAAGGAATGTAAGGTCTCCAGGTGCTCTGGTTTTCCTCCTCACCTGTTGGTGGATCCATTGTAGCAGTAGTTGGGTAGAAAGTCAAAGTTGAGCTCCCAAAAGACATGGAGGGTGATGCGCCCATAGGGTGCAGAGACGTTGTGGTTGGCTTCCCGGAACATGGCATCAAAGCTATCCAAAGTCATGTGCTTGCACAGCAACCTGTGAGTCAGGCGATTTATTTCCAAGAGCCACTCCAGCTCCTGCAGCACACAAAGCAGCGGCAGATGACATGTGTTACAAAAATGACAATAGAAACTGTTGGTTCAGTTGCCAAGGGATGATATTATACCCACACCCACACAGAGAACTTCCCAGGTGAGGATGTAACAAATGTTAAAGACAATGATTTCACTCAGTGACTGAGGCCAACTGCACTTCTACTCAAGGGGGTCCTGGTCCACTATCTCCTAAACCTGCAGGCAGCAAAATTAATTTCTTCCCCACTGAGTGCTGGCTGGCTTTCACATCAGAATCCTTCAGAGGTGGAAACTGGTAATTTTACACTACTTGACTCTGATACTCCTGTAAAGTATCAAAGGCAGAAAATCCTGCACAGATCTCAGCTACCTGTATTCAACAGAGGGAATTACAGTTAAGATTTCCCACTCCCAGATCTCTAGACTCTGTTCTATGAGCTCCGCAAAATCTAAATACTGACTGTCATTTATGATTTACACAGATAGTTCATAGTCTAATAATAATGCAAATAAGGCTTCATAAATAGAAACAGTAGAGATTCAATGTCATAAAGGAAAATACATGGTTGGCTGAACCCTACTGTAGGTGGGACAACTAGCAGAAGATAGCTGACTCTGTATTCGTAGCAGTGTATTATTCTCTCAATTCATACTCTCAGTAATAGTTCTTACCACTATGGATGTCAGGTCCTCACTCTCAAAGCGGCTAATGGCCTGGTCTAATGATTTGTACATCGCTGCTGAGATACGCTGGGTTATGAGCCTGTTCAGGTCAATTGACCTGCCCAGCAACTGGGAAAAGAAGAAAAGATAGGTGTATGTTACATTCAGATTGGGAAAAGTTGGTAGTAAACCCACTATTGGTTTTGCCACTACTTGGGAATAAGGTTGGAAATATGGAGTGTAACTCATTAATCCCCCTCAACCCAATGTCCTGAGTACAGTGAGACAAAAACATGTTCAACTCTTCTCATTCCAGCACTGGTCTCAATTGAGCCCAGCACTAGGATGCCAGCTGCCAACTAAAGGATAATAGGGTAAGAGCTATGAATACTACTTGCTTGTAGTGTACCTGGACATGCCTTTGCTTGAGCAGTGTCTCGTAGCGGTTTGATGGTGGATATGGAATGATCACCCCATAATTCTTGCATTCAGCCCGGAAACGTTTGTCCAGCAAAACACTGAAAAAGGCAACTAACATCAGGAAAAAGCAAACACACACAATCATCTTCATTCTGGATCTCTTCCAGAGCTATATTCATCCTTCTTTTCATCTTGGTCTGAATGCCAACAAATGTCCACTTGCTTTGCTTTCGCTTCTAAGTCACAAGCAGCAGTTGTCACTGGTGCATTTTATGCTGCTACCATTCTTGGCTTTTATGGCTAAAACATCCAAAAATATAAAAGACTGTGCTGAAAGATATCACTAGTACCAAGTAGTGGGGTGGTCTCCTTTTCTAAGACCAATTGTGATCCAGAAACAAAACTCCTTGTGGAGTTAAACTAAGACTTGTGCACATTTAGAGACATGAGAGGAGATTAGAGTTCATCGTGCTCTTTAAATTCTTAAAAAGAAATGTCACAAAGGGCTTATCTCCTTATCAGGGAGCTGGTAACTCTGCAGAAGTCCTACAGTCTGAGGTATGACCTGTGACTGTGTATCAATTTGGCCATTTTAAGTCTTGATGCTCTACTAGGGTGAGACCAAGTGAATATTCCTGCTTCCTATATCTGGGAGGCTTCCAGTACTCATCTGCCTGGTACACAATCAAAAGTCAAGCAAGGACATGTCTTCAATAGGACTGATCTGCTCTGCTGCTGCTCCAGAAAATGGTACTCAGACAGCTACATAGGATATCAATTATTTGTATTTCACTGTTCACCATGTCTGCTTGCCACCATTAATTTATTTTCCCTATCTACACTGGTCTGACATGGATACTAAGCTTGGTGAGACAAGGATAATCTCTTGTTTTGTCTACCTGCAGTGGCTACTCCCTGAGGGGTACCTTTTGGTTAACAGCAATATCATCACTCATCAGCAGCAGTCGGATTCTCCTACCTGCCAGCCATTGCTTTATAATAGGCAAAGATCTGATCTGCCAGCTTGTACACAAACTGATCAAAGCATAAATTCACCTGGGGGAGAAAAAAAAAAAAATCACAAAGGTATCACCAGTGCAAAGTAGCTCCTTCCTGTTCTTGCTAGATTGGTATAACTCAATACAGAACTTACAGTTTCTGCATGTTCTTACAGATCCCAATCTCCCCAACCTCAGCCATCCCTCGCTCTCAGAGATCTCCAGGTTGTCATTTTCCTCTGATGTCTCATAACCCTCTGCCCATCAGACAGACTCTTCCACGCTCACAGTGTCTGACAGCATTTGGCTTCCACTCGTCCCACAGCACTGCTAAGTTGAAGCCCTTAATCAGCAGAGCATGTAAGCTCTCTGAATATTTTGATGTTCTGAAAATCTCTCAGTCTGATGGAGTATATTTTTCAGGAAACACCTACTATTGATTCACTGAACTGCTGGGCTGGGCTGACAAACTGGACAGTGTGACCCCCCCATTTGCTCTTTCCATACAATAAAGAGGAACTTACTTCAGCTTCAATTTCATCATACAGGAACTGCTTTTTGAACTTGGTCAAGGCATAGTACGCGCTGTCATTATAGAGGTCCAAGGGGTACAGTACGTATCTGAGGACAAGAAGACATCATATCTTCAATTAACCTTGGAGATATCAGCATAAAGAGCAGCCACTCAGTGCAAGAACTGGCTTTTTTCTGTCTTTCACTCCTTTCACCTCCATTCGCTCCAGACCCTCAAGTTCTCCCATCTCACTCCCTGTCTGACTTGCTGGAAGCAGTAATAACAGATCTGGGTATGTTCTGTGTCTTATTCAATCATTGCCATCTCCTCTGCCCTTATAAAAAGTGTTGTCTTGCCCTCACTCCAGAGTGCCTTGTCAATGGTTATAAAATGGAAAACAAAGCTTCCTTAATGAGGAAGATAATATAAATATAATTATACTTGCATTACAGCAATTTCTCTGATCATTTATCAGATGTACAAAAAAAGTACTTAAAGTGCTTTATCCAGGGTTCACGTCCCTTTGGTTGCATGTGCTGTCTGATTGCTGGATGCAGACCACTACCACCAAGTTGAGTGGATATCCTAATGCAGCAATTCCCAACTGCTGGTTTATGATGGATGAGCAAGTTCCAATGTCAAGATGCAGCCAGTGTGCATCTGCTAATGAGTTATTCATACATTACACACTCATGCAGCAGCAAGTCAAAAAAATTTGTTTTTTTTTCACCCTTGTCAAAGAGACAGTTCATCCCCAGCCTACCCTTCACCAAATCAAAATCTCAAGCCCCACTGAAGGCACAGCCCACCACAGCCCATCATCTCTTACTCCATCATGGAGGGTTCTTTGGTTTCCAGAATATGGTCCGTGAGGATCCAGGGCATGGACATTTCAATGGGGAACTGGATGCGGCGGCCCATCGTCAGCTCCAGGAAGAACTCCCGGAACCAGAGCTGGGACAGGTCACAGCACTGCTGCAGCGCTTCTGCAACACAGAGAGATCCCCCAGTGGGAGGACTCAGAAGTCATCCCAGGATGGAAAGAAAACTCCACTCCTAGAAACTAAACTACCACTAATGGCACTTTTGCTATTGCTGACTCATTCCTGTTCTCATAATGATTACTACCTAGAAGCACGCCTGCATCAGCCAGAAGTAGAACATTTGGGAAAAATCAAGGAAAATCTTCTGTGCAAATCAATGAGGAGAAAAACTATATATAAGCCTTTGCCTATCCAAGAATGTGAGAGTTGGATTCAAGTCTCCCCCTGCCATAGTTTCACTCACCACTGATGTTGAGAAGGTGGGTGAAGAAGAACGATTGCTTGTGGAACTCTTCAATGGCCAAGACTATCGGCCCATCCAAGCTGCTCCTCAGAGTCTTCTTGGAGCCACTCTTGTCTGCTATGAGGGACTCCAGCATGGTCCGCACCATGTAGAGCTTAGGAAGGAAGTTAACAGTCACTACTCTCCTGTGAGATACCACTGCACGCAAACACGATGCTCTGCAGCAAAAAGTAATACTTCTGCTTCTACTTCGGCTTATGATCTACTTTCTGCACCCTTTGGGCCACCATCATCCTGAGCTAGAAATAATCAGATCCATAACAAGTGAGACTTGGAGAA